TTTAGAACTCAGACTAAAACTTCATACCTGCTCAAACTAGTTAAGTCATTTATACTGACTACATGGGCTACATGACATATTGGTGTTATCAATTTTGACCAAAAATAGTCCAAACCAAATCTGAATCAAGCTTTTACTGATCCAAGTGAACCTGAACCTTCAAAAAAAACTGAATTTCTACATTTAGAAGCTATAATGTTATGAACTCTCCTAACAGTTTGGTATTAAGTACATGAGATGTTATGCAAGTTCAATTTATAATCTTACTAAAGTCAGAATCAATTTGCAACACCTAAAGTGACATAGACACACATTCAAAATAGTTCAATAAGCAATTTGCAACACATTGCTACAAAATTACTAAATAACAGTAATATGTTTCAAGCCCTAAACAATAAAATACTGTTAGTGTTCTGTGCTTCACTTGCCATAAAGGTCATATTTTATTAATAGTCAACTTTTTTTTAAAAGCTAAAACGTTTCACGTAATTTCAAGGCTTATTACGTTAACAGTGAGGGATCAATAGAAACGTGAACAGTTTCTGCCAACAAATTCCATTCAAAAGGCCAAAGGTAATGGAGGAATATGGAAGAAGGGATGAGGAAGAGTTGAGACTTATAAGGAGTCGAATAGCCCCTTTCTGAGCTGTAACATCCTATGTAAAAGTATTTGTTATAGAGTAATGCATTTGACAGATACGTTCTGAGCAATGGTTTTCATTTGAGAGATATTGCTCATATCAAACTTTTGCTGAATTGCCAATTATGAAAAATTATATTTCACCACTAGATGGAGGTAAAGTTGCATATTTTGAGGCATTTGCTAGAGAAAAGCAGTCCTGAAAGATGAATAATAATCCTAATCCTTACATAGCACATTTCACATTGGGAAGATGTCCCTAGCACAGTACAGAACATACTGTACGATGCAGTGACAGTTTTGTGGGCAAATTAAAGGAGTATCGGTGATGGGAGAGGAAAAGCATAGGTTTTAGTCATTAGGAAGAAATGGCTTTAGCTCTTATGTTATAATAATAATCTTGCATTTGATATAGCGCTTTTCATATCTTTGAGACGTCTCAAAGAGCTTCACAGGATATACTTCTTTTTTTCTTTAATTGTTAATCCCTCACACTCTGGTTCATAAAAATATTAATATTACATCCGTGAAACTAACCAACAATTATAACAGATTTGACTGCAATATTAACCATAGATACTAAAATAATAAAAGTACATCTGAAACTCTTCACTTGCATTCAGCCCATCATCTGTTTCCTTCCGATTGTCTTTTTTTTAACCTATTCTCTGTCCCTTCAGAAAAATTTTGTTTTAATATTTCCAGTTTCCTCTATCCTGCTGTCAATTATTAAAAACACAATCTATGACTAAAATTAGAGAATCACTTTGCTAGTCACCTACCAGAAGTCCATAAAAAGTATATATATTTTGCTATCTAAAGCATCTCCTCAGTCCATCTCAAGGCTCAGACATCATTCAAACCAGCTCCTGAACTATGCTTCTCCATCCACCCTCTCACGCCTCGCCCATCCTCTCCTCCAACTCGGAGCAGATGCTGGATTTCCTCAAGACCAAAATCGAGGGGATCCGTTCAGCCGCCTTGCCCTCCCAACCGCCACCCCCTCCCCACCGCTCCCTCACACTCCGGCCTCTACCCATCCCTCCCTCCACACCTTTGAATCTGTCACCCCCTCCTCTCTCACACCACTATAAGTCTCATGAAGCCCACCATCTGCTCCCTCGACCCCAACTCTACTCCTCTTCTTACCTCCCAGCTCCACCTCCTCGCTCCTTTACTCTCAGACCTCGTCAACCTCTCCCTGTCAACTAACACTGTTCCCCTCCCCTAAAAACAGCTGTCATCACCCCTATCCCAAAGAAACGTTCCCTGGACCCATCCCTGCTCACTAACTACCACCTCATCTCCAACCTCCCTTTCCTTTCCAAGGTCCTTGATGTTGCTTCACTCCTTCCTCTCCTGCCACTCACTTTATGAGTGTTTCTGTTTCTGTGCCCACAGCACAGAAACAGCGCTGGTCAAGGTGACAAATGACGTTCTGTCCATCTCTGACCAGGGCTCCCTCTGTCTCCTCACCCTCTTTGCGGCTTTTGACACTGTGGACCACTCTATCCTCCTCCACCACCTCTCTTCTCACCTTAACCTTCTGTCCTTGAATGATTCAGATCCTATCTCTCACACCGGCTCCACTGTGTCTCCACAAATGGCTTCTCCTCCAGCCCCCACACCGTCTCGTGCAGTGTTCTTCATGGGTTTTGTCCTCGGTCCTCTCCTCTGCAATCTGCACATGCTCCCTCTTGGTGACATCATCTGCAGACATGGAGTCAACTTCCACATGTACATGGATGACATCCAACTATCTCTCTCTGCCTCCACCCTCAACCAGGACCACCGATGTGCCTGTCAGACAGCAAGTCCTGGATGATAGCCAACTTTCTACAGTTGAACATCCACAAGACCGAGGCTCTCCTGATTGGCTCACTCCAGCACCTCAGGCACTGGCAGTATCAGCATCCAAGGATGCATACTCCACCTCACCAAGCCAGTCAGGAACCCAGGCGTCTTGTTCGACCCTCAACTGTCCTTTCCTGCCCATTTCTGTGCCATGACCCGCTCTGCCTTCCCTGCAATATTGCCCAACTCTACCACTGCCTCAACCCTCAGGCCGCCGAAACCCTCAAGCATGCTTTCATTACATCCAAGCTTGACTATATCAATGCCCTACTTTTTGGCCTTCCCAGCTTTTCCCTCCACAAGCTACAGATCATCCAGAACTCTGCAGCTCAGGTCCTCTCCCACACCAGGCTCCGTGACCCCATCACACCCACCCTCGCCCGACTCCACTGGCTCCCCATCCCTCAGAGGATTGAGTTCAAAATTCTCATCCTGACGTTCATTGCCCTCCATGGCCTTATCCACTCCTACCTCTCTGACCTGCTAACCCCTTATCAACCTGTCCAATCTCTCCGCTCAGCAAGCTCTGGCCTGCTCCATGTCCTCCGCACAAATGTAATTTTGTATTGTATTGCATCCAAACCAGGTATGAGTGCAAACAGTCAATACAGGATCAGTTTTGCAGGTAATGACAAGCCAGGAACCTGAAGCACGACCAGCTCAAACTTTCATGTGAAAATCTCATGAGAAGCAGGAAGCGAGTGAGTGACTAAGACATACTTGCTGAAAGGCGCTATATTCACTGTAATTATTATTACTACTACTTTACATTCATATTTCTTCCACAAAATATAGTCAATTTTGAGACATCTTGAAGGACTGATAAGGTGCTATGTCAGATGCAAGGATTATTATTTTTATTATTATATTGTACGAATATGTTGGGGAAGCGGAAGGAGGTCAAAAGCTCAAGATTTAAATCCAATGTTCATTTTACGCGAACAATAATAATCCTAGCATTTGTTATAGTGCCTTATCACACCACCTAGACGTCACAAAGCGCTTCACAGAATATACTGTAAAATGAATTGACTCTTTTTTTTAAGGATTATTAACCCCAGAAAGCGATACGCCAATTGACTAACAACCAGGTTCCTACTTGCTGCTTGGTAAGCAGAGGAGTGTGGAGTTAGCAAAGTTTCCCAAGGTTTCGCCCTTGCAAGGGAATCGAACCCTGGTCCACTTGCTTGCGAAGCAAATGTTGTAACCGCTACACTATGGGACTCCAACTGGTTGTGTACAGGATGGAAGAGAAAAATTGCAGGTTCACTCCTCACTCTTGCACCACTTGGAAGGATCAATGAAAAGGGAAGTGAGTTCTGACGAAGGGTCGTGGACCTGAAACGTTGACTCACTTTCCTTTCTCCATAGATGCTACCTGACCTGCTGAGTGTTCCCAGCGACTTCTGTTTTTATTTGAATGAACATGGATCCATGGTTAAACACTGGACTACAATTCATTATGTACTGATAATCCTTACACAAGCCAAAGGTTAGGAACTTGGCAAATTTAAAGTACAAACAGATGTGTTTTGTGAGGGTAAAGGTTAATGTAAGTATCATAGTAACTGAGGGGGAAACAAACAGTTTCTGCACAGAAGTAGCATCATGTCTATGCTGCTTCAACCTGTTTTTTCTAATTTTTTTTAATGTTTCCCTGCTTTGTCATGCTTCACCAAATGTTTTTACTGTTCAAGTGTTTATACAGTTCCTTTTGAATAATTCTATTGACCAGCTTCAATAGCTATTTGTGTTAATTAATTCTAAATTGTATCAACTCTCTGAGTGAAGAAATTCTTTATACCTTCTCCCTTTTTCTAATGACAATCTTGATCATCTGTAACATTGTCACCGACTCCTCCAACTAAAATACTGTGTATCATTTTCCCGATTTACTCATACCGTGTCATGCTCCTTCAGTATTTTAAAGACCAATCTTCTCAATCTCGTCTGCTTCAGCGGAAATAAAACAATTTAGCCAACCTGTCTTCATATGTACAATGTCTCATATCGAGTATCATTCTCGGGAGCCCTGCGTTGTATAATGTCACGCCTTCACCCCTGACCTGAGAGTGTTTGACTCTAGATGATGCCAATATTAAAAAATGTTCCACTCACAAATGAGCTTTTGCTTTTCAAACACATGAACAAACAGACTCACAAACTGGAGAAGCTATCACCGATGACCCCAGTTGTAAGACTTTATTCAAATATTTTTCTCCTTCTTGTCTGATTACCTGACTCCAATTTACCTTCATCTCTTGTCCAACACATGCCACGGTGTTACCTAGGAGATAAGGAATCTATAGGATTGGAAAAGATAATTGCAGTTTTTATGGCTGATCCCATAGTTTTTGGATCATTCAGTTAATGATGTTGAAACCCTATTTGCAATGGCAGTAACCAGTTGGTTATTTGCGATCCCTCTATTCGCTCCTCTATACCTGTTGGGTGACAAAAATATTTACCAAAGCAAAACAACCTGGTAAGTAATTAGACACTGTACCTCAGTCTGGGGGAGGGAGTGGAGCTTTGCACATCGGGGAAAATAGGACATTCTTTCCAATTCACCCCACGGTAAAAGTGCTTCCTCTTGGCTGCGCAATGGAGTGGCATTCAAGGGAGAAACATCAATGGGTTCTGCGGCCCGTTTATTCACCCTCCTAGCAGGAGGATGCATGGAAGTGAGAGACTAAAGTGAAGGAATAAAAAGACAAAAAAGGAAAATTGAATAAATGAAAAGAACACCCAGAACGGAGCCGGGACAACATCAACATATGATTGGTGTGTCATACCAACAAATTTAACTATAACTTCAACCATGGCAGCGATCTAACCTCACCATTTTTTCCACTGCATTGGACAGTATTCAAGTTAAACTCACTGTTCTTTACACCCTGTCTTCAGGGAACCTCTCCACTAAGACTTTCTTTAAATTCTAAATTAAAATACAAGTTGCCTTTATCGTTGATATTTTACAGGATGTGCAACATCAGTTCTACCTTTTCTAACATTACATCAGACATCTAAATGACATAATAAGGCACTGTATCAAATGCAAGTAATATTATTATTATCAGCAGTATTATTGATTCATGTTAAGTAGTCACTGCTCATGAGTTGAAAAGGAGCTGCTGTAATGTCTAGTCCCAGAGCAAGGTCTGAATGAATATTCAACCTGATGCTATCACAATAGATTGTTACCCCTGATTTGTTATGGAGATGGAATGTGCCACATAGGATAATTATCACATTACCAAAGATAAGGTTAAAACAGACAGTAGTCTGCTCCCTACACCAGTCAGAGATAATTAATGACTACTTTTAATCTATTTGATATTTATCACAAGTGATAATATCACAGGCTGCATTTTTTCTCCCCTGTATTCCACCTAATTCCTGTTACTACAATGACACAATGACAATGGAACAGTCAATCGTTTAATTAAACACAAAGGATTATCAAGATTATACATTTAATAGAAATTCAATTGCACATAATCAAACACGGGGGAAACATTATTTTACAAATATACACATTAAAGAATGAATCTCTCCTCTTAAGCACAGTCTGGATTACTCACTCCCCCAACAGGGCAACAGCAAAGCCTCACAAAAACATATATTTACATCATGAAAACTGTTCCTTCATTGACAGCTGAAACCATATAAAAGGACCATGAGTTGCTGTCACACATTTTTAATGGTTTCTACAGACAGTAATTAAGAGAGCTTGGACTACCTTTCTACGCTCCATTTACATGTTATATACAGTAATTTGCATTATAATTTTTATAACATATTAATCATCACAGTTAACGTGGCATTATCTGACCATGGTTACTGAGATATCTGGGTTACTTGCAGTGATATTCTTCTCAGTGATGGAGGAAAAGTGAAGCACTGGGACACTACCTTTAGATGGAGATATACCAGGAATTTGGCAGTCACTGTTCAAACTGAACTTTACATAATACACTAATCAATTTTGAAAGGCTATATGTTGTATCATGTTTCAACGACTGCAAAAAACAACAGAAAACCACTGAAGAGCAAATAAACACCAATCAGCCGGAGAGACTTTATTTGGGAGAATAAGTATTTTCTCTTCCATAACAAGACCTTCAATGATGTACTATTAATAAAGTCTTCATCAATCCATTGGGTGCAAACTGTGATATGCTAACTAACACAGGCATTGAACTTACGATAATTAGCACTTCTTGTTACTCTACAAACTCCAGTATATAAGTGGAGAAGTGGCAGATGGTAAGAGTGACACAGTGGCGGAGTGTGCAGAATGCTCGTCTGCCACTTGCACAGATACTTTAGCGTCTCCTATTGGGATTAATGGGACCTGGGTTGTTGGGTTGCTCACCTTTTTTGCCAGAAGTGAGAACAAAGTGTGATATGGAGTGGAAAGTTACCCTTGAAACACTTTAGTGAGAGACTTGATGTCATTGTAGCTCAGTGCCGAGCACCAGTTTAAACAAAATGCAAAATACTGCAGAGGCTGGAAATCTGATACAAAAACAGAAGTTGCTGGGAGCACTCAGCAGGTCAGGCAACATCTACAGAGAAAGGAAAGTGAGTCAACGTTTCGGGTCCACGACCCTTTGTCAGAACTGGGGCATGTTGGGAGTGAGAGGCTTTTAAGGGCGAACAGAGAGGGGGGAGGCAGGGCAAGGAAGACAAAAGGAGAAAATGGGGTAGAGGAAAGGGGATAATGGGTTAAAGAGGTGTCAATGATACAAAACGAAAGGGGGGGGGGCACGGAATTGCAACAAAACAGTGGAATAGAGGTGTTAATAATGCAAAACAAAGGGGGGAAAAATTGCAAGAGAGAGAAAAGGTGTTTTTGAGAGGTGGGTCTATGCCACTTTTCACTTGAAAAGTGAGACAGCGACTTACACTGTCTCACCCAATTCTCCACTTTCCACCACACCAGCCTCAACATCTAACAAATAATTCTCCACCATTTCCGGCACCTCCAGCGTGATCCAATCACCAAACATATCTTTCCCTCCCCTTCCTCTCAGCATTCCGAATGGACCATTTCCTCCATTACTCCCTGGTTCATTCCTCCATCACCACAACAGTTCCTCTGCTCCCCATGCCAGCGCAGGAGATGCAATACCTGCCCTTTCACCTCCTCCCATACAACTGTCCAGGGCCCCAAACACAGTTTTCAAGTCAGACAGTGATTTACGTGCACTACCACCAATGTAATTTACTGCATTTGCTGCTGAAGATGTGGTCTCCTCTACACTGGGGAGAGGAAACCCAGATTGGGTGACCGATTTGCCGAACACCTCGTTTCTGTCTGCAAGCACAACCCTGAGCTTCCTGTTTCTTGCCACTTCAACTCTCCCTCCCACTCTGACCTCTCCATCCATGGTCTCCTACGCTGTTCCAATGAGTCACAGCGCAAGCTCGAGGAACGACTCTTCATTTATCTGCTAGGGACCTTACATTTAATCCTTGCATTTGATATAGCGCTTTTCACGTCTTTTTTTTTCTTTCTCTGGCCTCAATATTGATTTCAACAATGTCAGATCACAACAGCTCACCTTAGACAGAAGATAGGAAGTTTGCCAGACCTTGTTAATGTAAATGGCAAGCTATGCAGTTTTACCTAGTAATACATCAACACACTCTGGGATCCCCAAGGTCTTGGGTCTTGCCAATGTCTGCCTAATAATCTCCAGAATTAGGTTGTTCCAGGCAATGAGTACACATTCCAAGCACAGGGAAATATATTTATTCATTTTTAGTGAGCGATTGTCTGACAATATGGAAAACCATCATGTTTAAAGAGTATATCCATGCATGCCAACTACATATGGAAATTAATGTTTCTGGAATGGAATGAACAATCTCTCCCCAAAAGATTGCATCCTGCTTACTTAGTTTGAGAGTATCAGATGCAGGTTAGTAAGAGCCAAGACTTGGGGTCTCCACAGTGTGCACTGGGGTATTCCTGGAGTTTAACCAGCTAAAACAGCATTGCTAGGGCCACCTTACATTTTAGAATTTTATCTGGCAAGGTTAATGTAGCTGAGAGCAAAGAATCCCTGCCCCCAGTGAACGATCTGCCTCTCCAAATCCTGCCAATTAGCTAAACTGGCTGGCCTGTCATCAGCAGCATCCTGGAGTACTAAAGACACCCTGGCTAAGGAACTGGACTACTGAGACCACCACAGAGAATTCTGACATTCCATTACCTTGGAGTCAGTTCAGTTCCAAAGTGACCCCACTTACCTCTTTCCAAAGGAAGATAGTTACTAATTGGTCCTCGTGAGCAACACGGCTCAGCATGAAACTTCCATTTGTAGGTGGCATACATATATAGGGTAACTCTCAGTGCGGTTTAGATACTCTTAAGCATTGTGATGGGTTTCCACATGTGTTAGACACCTGGATGACCAAAAGGAACTCGATCTATAACAACAATTTTTGCATGACAACAAAGTTTAACTCACACTATAGAGTGAAATTATTTCTACTGGCCACAAAATAAATCTTTTAAGCATTCTTCTGGTATTTGGAATTATATATGTGTGTGTATTACATGCATATATATTGAGACAGAAAGGATTAGTACAAAAATACTATTAATCCACTACAATTGAGCAATCCAAAACAGTGTATTCATTCTCATGATACATTCCACCAGCTCTTGTTAATCAGCAATCTGGTCTGCTTTATCCAAAATGATGTCACTTTGCTTTACTAAGGCATTGAGAAAACACAGAAACTCTTACTTTCGTGACTTGTAGAATCTAAAATAAAACAACTGCATTTAATCACAAAGTTGACACACTACATTTTGTCAGAACATTTTTAATAGAGACTTTATTGCTCTTTTAGGACTTGGCTAAATTGGTTTCTGGAGTCTTGGTTCCAAAGAGGCAAACTAATATAAAAATGCACCAGTGTCCTCCTCATGGCCCCTTTTCTCCACACAGCCTCCTGTAGGAGTGTGAGCTGACTCTTGCACTGTTATGATCCTAATCTGTCCGTGGCTCTGCCAACATTAGGAATGTTTGCCGCAGGGAGATTTGGCCCATCTCCCACTCAACAGCCTGACTGAAAAATAATACAATCAGTGCAGCTGAGGCAGCTGGGAAATGAATCCACAGCAACATGCTTTTACTTGCTTGTAGAAGCGGCATTTTACAACCAAGCACAACAGCTAAAGTACTATTTTTTAGTTTTCCACAGCACAACCGGTGCCATTACTTGGTGTCCAGTTGTAGCTTTTAGTAGCGTCAGGCTGGTTCACTTGGTTGTAACTCAACTCTGAGTCAGAATGATATTGATTCAAGCCCCAGGTCAGGGCTTGGAATTCATATAACCTAGGCTGACACTATAATGCAGTGCTGTGGTGTGCTGCATGTTAGAGGTTCCATGCTTTGGATGAGATGTTAAACTAAGGCCCTTTCTGCCTGTTCAGATGGATCCCAAAGTACTATTCGAAAAGAGAAGTTTCTCTATCTGCTTTTCATGTGATCTTCTTACAAGCAGACAAGCAAAACAGTAACTTCTTAATTTAACTCTTGCCAATGACAGAGGTTTTGAAAATTAAACCAGACTTCCGATTTTGAATTAATATTATCAATTCACAGAATTTCATCTGTTTGGTATGATATTACATCTGCTATAAGCCTCAGTTTATGTAAACTTGCAGTT